TTCTATTCTATTCTATTCTATTCTATTCTATTCTATTCTATTCTATTTAAAGCACATGCCCTGTCTGTGAAGCAATACATAGTGAAATCATGCCACTTACAAGAAGAAAAAAACAGTATTTGCTATTTGATTTTAGCATTTTCCTTACAAATATTTCACGACCTTATTCCAACAAGTCACTAGATCACCAAATCACAGGCTCTCTTTAGGGTCTCACTTTGTGGGACCATTTCCTGTCACCATCTCCTTCCTCATGTTTCTCAATCTGAGCAACTTTAAGATATGTGGATTTTAACTCTCAGAATGCTAGTTGGGAAATTCTGAGAGTTGGAAGTCCACACATCTTAAAGTTGCCAAGATTGAGAAGTACTGATCCGGATGGTAAGATAGGCATAATATTTAGAATATTCTTGTTTTTATTTTGCTTTGTTTACTGTGAACTTTGCTAAAACTAGAGTTATAGGTGCATTCTTTACTGCTATATTTCATTAACGTAGCATATAAAAATTCATGTTGATAATTTTTCATTGTTTATTTATGTCAAGCAAGAACAAATTAGCCTATTTTCCATATAACTTGGAAATGTTTAAATCTGAATGACACAATTATTTCATGGAATTTATGATTTATGAGCATTAATTGAGACCTGTCTGTAGTTAGGAAATCTAAGAAATACAGTCATGTTGTAATACAAACTGCCACATTTTGCATTGTTCCATCTTTTCCCAAGAATAATTTATATTCTTCCCCAAAAAATAAAATTATTTTTAATTTTTGTTAATTCATCCAACCGGGGAGTAGGTGACATCCCAAGCGATCATCTGAACAGTCTTAATACGTGACTGTATTTCTTAGATTTCCTAACTACAGACAGGTCTCAATTAATGCTCATAAATCATATATCCCATGAAATAATTGTGTCATTCAGATTTAAACATTTCCAAGTTATATGGAAAATAGGCTAACTTGTTCTTGCTTGACATAAATAATGAAAAATTATCAGCATGAATTTTTATATGCTTTGTCAATGAAATATAGCAGTAAAGATTAAAAGAATGCACTTACAACTCTATTTTAAGGAATCATTTACAGGCAGCAAAGCTAAACTTTTAAATCTGACACTCCCCTCAGCCCAAGAGCATAAACAAAGATTATACCTTCTGAAGAAAGGTGAGGGTTGGAAAGAAATCTGCTGCAAGATGATCTTTCAGCAACTCTGAAACTGACTTGTCTTTCAAGATGCTCTCGAATGTGTTGAATGTCAGGCAGTTGTTTCTTTCTCTCTTCTCTAGCAGTCTCAACAGATACTAAGACTCTGTTCAGATGATCACTTGGGATGCCACGAACTCCCTGGTTGGATGAATTAACAAAAATTAAAAATAATTTTATTTTTTGGGGAAGAATATAAATTATTCTTGGGAAATGATGGAACAATGCAAAGACAAGAAGAGGGAGGGAGGGAGAGATGGAGGGAGAGGGAGGGAGAGAGGGAGGGAGGGAAGGAAGGAAGGAAGGAAGGAAGGAAGGAAGGAAGGAAGGAAGGAAGGAAGGAAGGAAGGAAGGAAAAAAGGTTTCCATTTTTTTCTGCATCAAATATAAGTACATTTATATTAAGTCTTATTTCATTATTACCAAAAAGAGCTCACTTTTTTCTATTTTCTAGTTTTTTAAATAAAGTCACAAATTATGTGCATATTTTTCTATTTCATGCAAAAAGCCTATTAGAGGAAAAAACAATATATTTAAGGTTAACTGTAAATAATATAGTGTTTTCTCTTTTGATTAGAGTCAAGTTAGTCATCTCTGCAAGCTTCATCAATTTCACCAGACATTCCTGCATTACGAGTAATGTTGAGCCTTTCCACTTTTGAATATATAATAGTCCTGTTACAGATGTGCATCACTACTTTAGAGGCCCAGATCTCTGTGCTATGATTTTAGTTTGAAAAAGACATTAATATTCATTCACACATTTGAACAATTTAAAGTGATCTTACGGATTTAATTCCCAAGGATTCCAACTTTTCTGCTAGGGTGTGCTCCAAAACAGTTCTCAGCTCTTTCGTTAAAGACGGATCGCTCTTCAAGATATTTATCATGTAAGATTTATTCTTTCCTGTTCGGGGCACTTGCATTTCTATTTCTGAAACAAGCCAGGTATTTTTCTTTAAAAATCACATCATAAAATCAATACACGCTTCATCAAAATATTTGCAGTGTATTATGCACTCACCTGAATTTTCTGCTTAAGAAATTCTAATGTTTCTATATCAAAAAGCAAAACAATAACTTAATTTTAAATATAACTGGGCCAGCTGTGGAAATCCAAAATTCAACTCTTTCTTTGGTCACAACTACATCTGACAAATCATGTTATGCATTAGGTATCGGTTTAATTATAGATATAATAAATCCATTAAAAGGTATTTATTATTTATTTTAGTGGACCTACTCTAAAGAATAATTTTCAGTCCAAACCAATGTAGGTAAACATAATGTGATCACAGAATCTTATTACTACTACAGTGGTTCCCCGAAAATAAAACTAACCAGAAAATAAGCCCTAGCATGATTTTTCGGGATGCTTGTAATATAAGCCCTGCCCAAAAAATAAGACTCTCAGTCAGATAGACGCATTTAGTATTTCTCCGAAAGTAAGCCCTAACCGGAAAATAAGCCATAATGCATCCTTTGGAGCGAAAATTAATCTAAGACCTGTTTGGGGGAAACACGGATAGTTCACTGAATATAGTTTATCATTCACACTGTTACTTAATTGTGTTTTTTAGCAATTTCATCTATGATTTTTTTTTCTGGAGGATCAATCTATAGCCAATTATTTCAAAATACTCTTGACAGAGAAACTTGAATAAATAAATAATCTTAATCCCTGACTTTTGTCCAGAATGGTATACGGTCTCTTGCTCAAGTACGGTTGGACTAAAAGGTCCCTTCCAACCCTAAGATTCTATGACTTCCTGAAGGCAACTGTAAATCTAGATCTGTATGAATAAGACAGGAATATGTTCAAACAGTGGCTGAAAGCCATTCAAGCCAAGAATTGTATCAAATGAACTACAAGGAATTCCAACAATACCCCAAAATAAAGATAAATTCAAAAGCAAGGAAACTGGGTGGCCCTCTTTCCCTCAGACTCAATTGTCTGTAGGTGTAAGAAAGTTAACATGGAGGCTGGATATAAGAGATAAATAAAACAGAATCCTAGAGAGAATAGTGGTGGACACTAATTGGCAAAAAGGGAAGCCAAGCAATAGGAGAAGCTACTTTTCAAAGGGATCACAAAAACACTGAGGCTGCCTGAAAATGTTGAGGTAAGATTTTTTTGTGTCTTCTGGTAGAAGAAATGTAAAACTGCTCTCTGGTCTCTCGCTCTCTGATATACACGCATAATGCAAGAAGAATTTAAGCCACAAAAACTTCACCTGGTCCTGTCGATTACCTTTTTCATTCTCTGGAAGCTCCTCTATGGGCTCCAGCATGGGTACCAAAAGGGCCTGTTCTAATAACGAGGAAAGACATGAATAGCAACAGAGACAGAAAGATAGACTGTATAAAAATAGGTAAAGATAAAGCCTAGAGAATGAAAACAATTCAAAAATGTATGCAAAACTATCAGATGTGTATTTATTTGGTGATTAAAGCCCAATCAAATGCAATTATTCATTATCAACTTTATGCAAATTGTAACTTGCCTTCAGCTACATGCACCTGGCAAAATATTTATTATCACGCACAATTTGATTTCAACCTCTAATCATATACTGTGGGTTAAATGGATGATGGTATATTTTGGGGTTTAAACTAAACAAAAGCCACAAAAAAATTCACCCTATTTTTTTCCTCCTGAAATCGTATAATACAACAGACATTAGGACTTTGTCCCTATACCATGTGCAGATATTGGGGGCAGTGGGGAGACCCTTTATTTCAGTCAGGCTGCAGAAGCAGCCAATTCAATCGCTACTCTTGTATTAAGGAGGCATTAATCAATTTTGGAATTACATCTCCCAATAGATGGCAAACCGTAACAGCTAATGTTATTCTGTGATGCAGTTCTCATTCTACAGTCCATTGAAGATTTTCTAAATTGGATGGTTACTTTAGCCTGGGCCTTAGGATTTTCTCATTACGTGTAAATGAGAAAACGGAGTAAAAAACTCTTTGGCTATTTCTAGTTTACACATGGTCCCTGTGTTCCCATCACAATACTGATCTATCAAAAGAAGTATCGTTTTACCAGTAACAGTTCAAAGCAAAATGAGACATTTTATGCTCAAAAACATATAAAATCCTAAGACCCAGGCTAATGTAATCATCCAATTTAGAAAAGCTTTAATGGACTGTACTATGAGAACTGCATCACAGAATAACATGCTGCCCTAGGCATTTAGCATCGATCTTTACAACTTGTTCTTGTTTACATTTAGATAAATGTAAGTGACCATTGAACACTTAAGATTTTCCTCTTTGTTTTTCTGTCTTAAATATAAACCAAGAAGCCAAGTGGATACTACTTTGCAAGTAAGAATAGTTAAGCCAACTTGCGCCCTCTACCTAAGCTGTTTCCCTGTTCTACGGTACAACCAAAGTTCCAATGATTATGGCAGTGATGCTCACCATAAAAAAACCATTCAAACCTCTATCTGGAACACCTCAGCTTTTTTTGTTTTTTTTTGCATCTCCCATCTTAATATTCCAACTTTTTGGGGGAGAGATACAGTCATTATAAATCTAATCTTTGCCAACTTTGTTACTGATTGTAATAAAATGTCATCAAGAAATACTACGCTCTCAGCTTGCCATTCTCCCTCAAGATTGCATACAGGAGGTGTTCAGTATTACTACAGGTATATGAAGATCACCTATATGCTGGGACAGCCCCATACAGCTCAGGCAATCATGTTAAATAATCTTTCCCCCAAACAATCATTCCTCTAATAATATCATCCTATTAGAGAGTAAAAATGCAACCACACTAGACTCACACATTATCATGTTGGGGAGTTGGGAGTAATAATGCATTGGCACAATACAAATCTGGTAACTTCTTATTTGCACCTGGTGACAAGTCACAAGTAGGAAAGCGAAGTTGCCACTTGCAAATTAAGTTTCTTCATTTGTCACTTAGTTTGTCATGGATACCTATGTTCATACAGATCTGATTTTAAAGCAATAACTGTAAAAGGCAGGATGAATGTGAAGGTGCAGGAAGACAGGTATACAGAAGTAGAAAGGCTATTTAAGTAGGCAATCACCAATAAAATAACAAAGATCAAAACCCAAATATGTCCAAACTGAAGAAGGAATGCTAAATGCTTAGAACTTTAAATACTGATATCATTTAGACATTTTTGTATATTTAAAAACAGCACAGGTTAAATTGCTATTTAAAGGTAGCCTCAAGAAACAGAATCTGTTACTACAAGTAATGATCTATATATATATTTTTAAAAAAACAGATACTTCTACAAATTGAGCAGCTACACACAATGACAGATAGATTCCCCACATCTTAAAACTTCCGATCCAAACAATCCAATTTTTTGAATTGGCAGCTATGATGTGACACAATTTCTGGTGCTGAAGGAGAATATACTTCTATAATCACGAACTTTTGTATGGGATGCTAGAGAGATCCTATCTTACCATGCTGTAATTTATATTGACACACTGGGCATTTTGTTTCTAGATCAACATAAATGGTCTAAAATTGGAATTGTCCATATGGCAATTCCATAAACTGGGATTGTCTCTGGTTCCGCATAAAAATGGCTGTGACAAATTAACATAGAAAGGCAAAAGGCCAACTGGCAAGGCTGAACTACAAGCAACTCATCTACAAAGTACCAAGTAGAAATGCAGTTCGTATCCTGAATATACAGTAAAGCCAGTTCACTGAACCAACGTATTTTCTACTCTAGCAAAAACCATTTTTATGAATGCAGAAATGCAGTTTGTACCCTGAATCTACAATAAAAACCAGTCCATTGAACCAACCAGCAGTCCATATTTTCTATTCCAGCAAAAAAATCATTTTATAGCAGGCAAACAATGGAGGCAAAAAGATACATAACTTGCTCTGTTCTTGAATATGACTCCGAGGTGAGGCTGGGCCTTAAAAATACAAATCTGTTTATTTCCAGACTTTTTTTTTCTGAATGTAGTCTCCCTTTTCTCTTACCAGTAAACCCACTCGTTTCACTCCCTTCCCACCTTCTTCATTTTCTCTCTGAGAATCACCCCTTTCCAAACACAGAAAAGCAATTAAAATGTTACAAATGAAATAAATCTCCAGATCCACCCAGAGCCTTTTGCAAAATGTGGGTAAAGGTTTTGCAGGCATAGTAGTCCCTGGGAGCACCAAGCGGGACTCCCTCTCTCTCCTATCCATCTCTCCTCTCTTGCAAATGTAGAAACCTCTTGAGATAAAACCCATTTCAATCAGGTGTTTTTTTAAAGGTCCTCTTATTATAAACTTTATTCAAGGTGCTTACTCCAGATAAATATAAACTAACCTTGGACAGCAGATTCTGGATGCTCTTTTGATAATAGTCTTACAGCTGGGAGCACAGGTTGATTTTCTGCTTCAATTCCAAAATCTATTGAGCCAGCCACAAATTAATTTGATTACAAGGAAGTTTTATGTTCTTAGTTAAAAGTCCTTCAATTTTGATTTTAAATAGAAACAATTATTTTACAGAAAGAAAATGTCAGCAAGTTACGTTTATGTCAATGAATACAATGACTGATCTTTCCAACATATTTCAGGAGAGCTTAATTAAAAAAATATTGTTCCATTAATTAAATTGATTTGTTACTTATTATTATCCTACAGGATAATACCTAAGAAGATTTCCTTGTCCATTACAGAAACCTACCATGCATGGATGACGTGCTTGATTTGGGTTGAACATTTTGTTCTGAAGTTTTCACTAGAACAAAAATATGCGAGGATATAAGTGTCAACCTTCCGATTACAATAAACTGCACATATTTCTAAACAAGGGTGTGGGGTTTTTTTTCCTGCAAAAGTAGTTTTGTAATAAAGTAAAAAACACATTTGACACATTTTAAACTCTTTCTTCGTTAAAAATCCCCACTTACCTTCAGAAAACTTCGAGTTTTCTATTGGTTTTTTGGAAGCCAGTTTTTCTATCTGAAATTACAGGGATAAAAAACAATGGATATCAATGCAGAAATGGGAATTTGCCTATACTGTGCTAGTTAAAAGTCCAGGTAGGTGATAGGACTTCATCAATAAATGGTAAGTCAAACAATGCTCTTGGCAATACCTCCTCCCTGCACAAAGTCTCCCATCCAGATGAACTGCTCTTAATTGGTCCCAGACATAAAGACAAGCACATACAGCAGGTGGAAACAAAGAGGAGCCTATTGGCTGGCTCAATATAGTACTATCAAGTCTGGCCAGGTAGCAAAAAATGACCTTTTGTCACAGCCAACTGCAATTATAAGCAAAGTCTCCTTCACATCAGAAGAACAAGTCACAAGGACTGTTCTTTCCCGAATGTCATCACTCTGCTAAACTAATTCCCACAACACTAATTAACTATAAAGACTGTATTACTATTCTTCTTCTCATCCTTACTAGTACCTATCTCTTCCCACTTATGACTATAACCGTGTTGCTTGTATCTTTACAATTTGTATTGTTTTATTGGTTTCCTAGTATGATTTGATGCTTATTAGTAACCTATGACCATCACTAAGTGTTGTATCTTATGATTCTTGATGAGTGTATTTTTTCCTTTATGTACACTGAGAGCATATGCACCAAAGACAAATTCGTTGTGTGCCCAATCACACTTGGCCAATAAAGAATGCTATTCTATTCTATTCTATTCTATTCTATTCTATTCTATTTCTGGTGACTTCACGGCCATGAGATTTCCTAATAGTGGTCCATCGAAATTCTGGCTTCTGAGGCCAGCTCCCTAAGCCCTAAGTTTGTATTTATCTTTTATGCACATTTCCTTCCATTTTTTAATTCTTTGAAAAGCAATGCCCAGATGCAGCCTAAACCTGTACTCACATTTCAGCAGCCATGCTCTACTGCTAATTTGCAGCTGCCTTAAGTACTAAAAGAATCACTGATTGTGATTGATGAGAGCCATAGTAGTGCGGTGGTTAGAATGCAGTATAGGAGGTTAACTCACTGCTCACTCCAGGAGTTCGATCGTGACCGGCTCAAGGTTGATTCAGCCTTCTATCTTTCCAAGGTCAGTAAAATGAGGACCCAAATTGTTGGGGGCAATACGCTGACTCTGTAAACCGCTTAGAGAGGGTTGTAAAGCACTGTGAAGTGGTATATAAGTCTAAGTGCTATTGCTATTGTAAGAACCCAAAATGAGAAGTGTATAAGGATAGAAAATAGTTACTTGTGTAGTTACTATAATTCCATCCACATGTTTTATATAAAAAGGGCCCTTTGCTCATGCTCTGGCCTTTTAGAAGGGCACCATTACATGGAACAGACCTGTTGTTTCTGGGTAACAATAAGATCATTTTGTTCTTGCAGCTTTTGTCCTAGTTCTTCTAGCCTCTTCTTATAGAAAATGTTGCTCATATTCAGTTCCTCAGCCACTGATGCTTTAAGCTTCTCAATTTGAGATGTGAGCTGAACAGGTCAAATATAGAAAAAGTCTATTTAACTGGAAACATTTTGTTTATCTTATGCTATCTTATGTATCTTATTATATAGTTATATATCTTATTATATATTTATAATATAAAATATAATTACTGGTCTAATTTTCCTCCCCTGAATGTTTTTTGGTCATAAAGGTTAAAGGCCAGACTTCCCCTTCAGCTCTAGGAAAATAGAAATATATGCATTATGGAAAGTTAATTAACACATTTCCCTTTTATGAGAAATAATTTGGATCTACAAAACAGGCTTATTTTCTTAAGGAGTTAGAAAATCCATTATTAATTTATTATACTTTTGTGCTCTTTGGTATGGTTAGGCAACTTAGGGCCCTCCCGATAGCAACCAGAGAGTATCAGGGTGCCTATCCTACTCAACAGGTTTGTGATGACACATAGATTTGTGTAGCTGTCACAATCAACCAAAACCAGACAACTGCATTATGGGCATAACAGACTGTATAGTTTGCAGTGATAGTCTTTCAGAGAAAAAGATAGGTGCCCTGATACAAAGTGACTCTTTTAATCACATCATTCCACATTTCTCCATTTTGTAAAACTCCTTTCCCGACTCTTCCTATTCCATTGGAAGCTAGAAAAAATATGTAAGTATAAATTTTGTCAAAATTCGTAAGTTTATCTTATTCATGATTATCTTATAAACCATGAATATATCTATCTTATAAACTATGAAAACACACACACACTTTCACCCTAGACTTTCTGTACTTCTTTTGTCATATATAAAACACTTCTGTCAGGGAAGATATTTCTACATTGGAATTCATGGCTTTACCAGTTCAAATGCTCACAGAAAGAAATCTGAATGTAGCTGAAGAAGTTCAAAGTAATTGTCACAGCATACTTCTGCATGCTGCAGCTTATTTTTCAACAAAAGAACTGAATGCAAATACTTCATGCAGTTACTCAGCATGGGAATCAGTGAAATTTTACAAAATCTAAAGTGGATTTTAAATAGTCATTCTGAATGGTTTATCACAGTTTCCTCCTTTTTTGTATTATTTATTTCTATGTAGGAAACTTTCATTCAGATTTACCTGGTACTTTTCATTTTCATGTTCTTCTTGAAGAGTTTGTACCTTAGAAGACCACTTGGCTTCCTACATAAAACAAATATGATACTTTGAACAATGTCTTAACTTTATATTGTATAGTTTTGTTTTATTGAAATCCAACTTATCAACTTGTGTCTAACTCACAATATAAATAAAATCCCAATATGAACTGCTGAATCAGAAAAGGTGGCAGTACTGGCATAATATCATTATTTGTTACACTACATTACCATTAGAGGGTGAACATGTTGTGGCAGTTATTAAATAAGTCCACAATGCTCATACTAAGAAAGTAAATTTAAACGGGTTATCTGAGATTAGAACCACACTGTGAAATTACTTTTGCTTTCTGTGCCCAAGTTGCCTAGATCACTTTATGTTAATGCTGGAACTAGTGAACCAGCTTAGTTTGAGACAATAGACATTATGAACTAATTTAGCTTGTAATTTTAATGTCAGGGAATCTTATTAATAATGCACCTGGCTCTGAGGTTCTAGAATACCTACTTATCAAAAATCAGATTCCAAGCATTTGTGGAAAACCTTGGGGGTTTTGGGGGGTGGGGGAGAGATTAGGGTATCCCAGAGGTTATGGCATTAAGGAGAGGGAATCTCCATTCAGACGAAAGAAGACAAACATTATGTCCAACCCAGGTATACATTATGCCAGAACAAAAGAAGAAAGCTGAAACCACCAATTTAAAGCACAACTGAGTCTGAATCTGGAAGAAAATACATTAACATAATCTGACTATTCCTAAGAGATCTAATTCTGCCTTCATTTGCCTAAATCCCCAAATGAATTGTAATCTCAGTCATCCCCAACCAATGTGCTCATTCTTGGCTTTACTGGGAACTGTTTGGAAATGTGTTCAGCTTACGGGGAAGTGAGGGAACAATAAATGCACATAAATTTTGTCTCCCTATTTATACCAGATACCTGGGGCCTGGAATCTGAAGTCACAGTGCCTGACATTTGCACTAAATTACCTGTTTTTCAAGAAGCTGCATTATATTCTGATGATCCATAGCATTCCGATGTTTCTCATCTGTTAATTCAACGGTATCTTTTAAAGTGCCTAAATTGGATTTCAGATGTTGGTTGGACTTTTGTATCTCTAGCAAATGCTAATAGGGATACAACAGCAGCAATCAAAGTAAATTCAAAGTTTTCTTTAGAAAAACAAATAAGCTGGTATATTCTGCTAGAAAATACTTCTAAAAGGCAAAATATTTTTTGCAATCTCCATCAACCCCCCAAATCTAGCCATTTTCTTGAACTGTAATTACTTAGAAAATCTAGCCATTTTCTTGAACTGTAATTACTTAGATAATATACCACCCCACAAATACTAAGTACAATTATTTGTTTTTAAGTTCAAAGGAATATGTGCTCAATCCACAAAAGTAAATATATGGGGAAAGTAATGAATATGTGGGACAAAGGGGGAAAGAGAAGTGAGAGCCTTCCCAATTGAAGGGGTTCTAATGAACAGCCTTAGCAGCCGCAGATGAAAATAATCCTTGGCTTGAAGACCGCAGGAATAGGGGTACAGTGGGAAAGGAAGGAATTTGTAGCTGAAGGACAACCAGGAAGCTCAGGCTTTTATAAAGTTCTATGCCTTTTCCAATATTTAAAATATAAAGCATAATAAAACTGCAACATTACTCTATAGAGTACACCATCCAATTTCTCAGCTACTTACATTTTCTAATTCGGAATTTTTTGCAGTTAATTCTTTAAATTCCTTCATAAACATGTCTTTCACCTTCTCAAGTTCACGGGCCAATTTTTCCTTTTCTTCCTCTTTCCATTTGTGAAATAAGTGCCGAATCTCCTCCTCTTTGGATCGGCGTTCCTCATATTCCTGAAATTGAATGAAAAAGCTATTTGAAGAATTCCAGAAAGTTCTTTTCTACAATTTCTGCCTTTTGTACATGATGCTTATTCCAAACCAATGAAACCTTATCATAAATTAATGTGATTTGTGGATTTTAAAATATTCCAATCTAACTAAAGGATTGCTGATCAGTGAAAAAGGTTTCTAGAGAGAAATAATGGAAATGGTGATGTGTGAAAATGTATATTGTATATTCTTTTAACCTGGCTCATTGCTAGAACAAGTTTTCGATAAAATATATGGGCAGGAGGAACAATTCTGTGTTATTTCCCAAAGAACATAAAAAAGAAGTGCAGATTTTATATGCAACCACAAAGTCTAAAATAATCAACCATCTTTCCATTTACATTTCACTCTGTAAAGTGCAAAATTACCAAACAAGGCTACTTTCTTCTTTGAATGTTGATATTGATTTAAACTTACAAACTTAATTAGTAATGTATAATTGGATGGCATCTTAAAACTGAGCCCTACAGAATATGCCCTACCTTAGACAGTTTGACTATATGGTCATGTTGCTCAGCTTCTAATTGAGACCTGGTAAGTTGTAATTGCTCCTTCAGTTGGTTGATCTCCTCCTGCAGTTTATAAGTCTGTGATTTTTTCTTCTGATCTGCTTCAAAGTATAACGGTGATAGTGTCTGTTAATATACTGCAGAGAAATGCAGTTCTACTTACACAGACATTTAAAGTATTATTTCTTCCTGTGGATTATAATACCAACTACTTCCTCAGTACATTACCATCTAAAAGATGTAACAGGGACTCCCCCAAGCTACTTTAACAGTAAACAGTCTATAAAAACTACATAGTACTTTTATAATCATTAGTTCATGCTGTCTGGGACTGCTAATAGTTGTTGTTCAGGAACATCTAAGGCCCAGGTTTCCTATTCTTTTTGGAATAATTAAAGGGAGGAAAGGAACAGGAATAACTCCTTCCTCAGCACAGTTGAATTCCATTTCAAATAACAATAAATAGAAGTATTATCCAATCTTAAAGCATAATCACCATGAGTGAACAAATAAAACAAATAAAATTTGGCATATTCCTCTTCAACCATTTTAACCAATTTCTCTTGTCACAATGCTGAATAATTTTTATGACAGACATCCTGTTAAACTGAACCCAGGACCAAGACAGCCTTACTCTTCTGTTTTACTTCATGAAGTATTTTCTTCTTTCTTATACATATACATGCACAAAATAAATGAATAAAGACTATGTTCTGAGTGCCCTGATGACATCATAGTCTGAAAATAATCTGTGATATCCTTAATCAGTCTTTAATGCAAACATTTTGAACCATTCAGATCCCTCCTTCTGCCAAAATTTCAACCCTACAGAGAAAAGCAAATAAGTGTAATAAATATTGTGAAGTGATGCTCTTCACATCAACTTTCACTCTTTTAAAAATGTTAGATTGCAGGTGTAGGCTGCATAAATCCATAGGACCAATACATGGCAGCCAAGACTTTTTTGCAACTTAAAAATTAACTTAAATTTCTTTTTATCCATACTACTGGTTTATTAAATTTAAGAACTTGCAAGAAAAGCAACTGTATCTGAGAAGGCAATTAAGCTCCTAAATATCACGTATGATCATCTATTTTTGAGCTATCTCCTTAACACTAATTCACTGCAATTGAACCAGTCAGAAGCTGCAGTAATTGGAAGAAAACGATTTGTTGAAAAAGTAGAATACAGATAGAATGTCTTTGATTTACTTTTGCTTTATGCAAATACTTTTAAACTATGTCCAATTATGTTCTAGAAAATTATATCCTGTTACATCACAGAAAAAAGTTTATTACTTGTTACACTGCAGGAAAGAAAATTATGTCCAATTATCCAGAAAACAAAAACCTATCACAAGCAATAGATTTTCTTAAGGACCATAAACTTTGCTTAATGAAATTGGGTCAGTCACATGATGACCTGCTTGACAACGATTATGACTTATGCCCTTAAGTGCCAGACTCAATTATGGTTGTAAGTCAAGGATTAGCTGTAGATTCTTTCCTCTGATCATAAACAAAAATTAAAAGTCATTAAAAAATAAAACCTAAATTTAAAAAACACTAAAGTTATATAATGTTTTATATATACAAACTGTACAAACTGCATATGTACAATTCACTTTAGCTTAATAAGGGCCCTAGTTGGTTCTTCCATATTGGCAAGAAGTAACAAATATGCTGGATTTCCTATTAATGAAATGGCTCTCTAAATGAAGTCTCCTCCTTGTTCTCTAAATAGCACCTACTGCACTTGCTTGCTTTTTTCAAATAAGAAAAAAATATGGATTGGATGTCAGTTTTGAAATCTATTTATTTATTAAACACTCACCAGTGACTGGTTCTTCTGAATGGCGACGCTGCAAATGACTGTGCAGGAAGGAAGCGTTCATAAAGGCTTTGTCACAAAACTGACACTGTAAAATCAAAGTATGTTTAAACAACAACTGTGAAACTAAGGATATTTATCTCTGTATGTTTATTTTTATCTTTGTATGATTCGATGTTTGTCATTATTTTTACTGACAGTCTTATTTTGAAAACAATTGCCACTTGAGCAATTTAATGGTAGTAATATGATACAGGGAATTCAATTCCAAAACAAAAGGACTGAAAAAGACTTCTGATTAAAATGAATAAATATTACAAACATTATAAGCATATTACAAATATCCTTTTAAAAGTACAATGCATATAAAGAATCTTAAATTCTTCTAAATCGCTACCGGTGACCAACCCAGGTGATGTGGCTTTATCTCGAAAGAATCCTTGGATGGAAGAAAACCGAATAATGACTAAACAATTCACGCTCCATTGGTGTTATCACGTGAGCATGAGGATGTTGCAATGGTTATAAGTATGAAAAACAGTCATGCCACTTCTTTCAGTGGCATTGTAAGCTCGAACGAATGTTGTAAGTTGAAGAGTATCTGTATATTATCATTATCATGTAGATTCAAGTTAGCATAATTCACACTGTATTACACTGAATTAGGTTATGGCAGATAAAACTAAGTACTAGACTCTAGGTTTCAATTCTGCTGCAACGTGTAAAGAATATACAGTTAGAGACATTATTGAACAATTCAGAAATGTCTGAAATTCTGCCAGTGGACAAGGTAAACAAAAGTCAACAATTCTGTGCAACTCTTTAAAATTTCGAGCAGAAAGGAAATGACAGAAAGGATTAGCCCACCAACATAATTTAATAAACTTAGGAGAATCACATTATTGAATGTATACAGGGCAATGATCCACTTAACCACTGTGACAAGGTCATCAAATGAAGCAAAACTCACTTAACAACTTTTTCTCTACCTTGAAAAATAATCCCCAATAGTTTATTGTTTTGCTTTATTTACAGCATTTGTTAATCCTAGGTATCAGACTAACAAAAGACTAACTTGTGGGGGGGAAGGGCTTCCTCATAGGCCAATATTCAGAACAGTATCTTATTTGATACCATCCATAGGAAGTTCAAATCACCAAGCTCACAACCAAGCTTACTCCCGCCCCAAAAAGGGGTATGGGGGGCAGCAGACAAAGATGCAGTAATCCTGTATTCATAGAGACACAACAAAAGCAAATGGCCTGGAGTCACATCAACTTCTATGAGCCTTGACAAGCTGGCTGCCATGGGGCATTTTTTTTCAACCTCCCAGGGCTGCCTCCAAGAAGTAGCCCAAGCTGGGCCTGCTTAGCTTCCCATCTCAGCCAAATTCAGCCAAATCTCAGGGGTCCTTGGTGCTTTTTTTTTTTTTCCCCTGCAGACCTTTTCATTACCCCAACTAGGTAACATCACTGCACTGACGTTAACCTTGTTTTGAGTAATGAAAGGCCTGCAAGGAAACAACCAAGCTCGAAGAGCACCAAGGACCTTTCAGGTCAACCCCAGGCTACAAATATTCTGCTTTACAAGTAGTCCTTGAGTTACGACCATAATGGAGCCCCCAATTTACATTGCCATACGAATTTAAATGTTAATTTGTGTTAACATTTGTTAGGTGACTTTTGCCCCATTTTACAAAATTTCCTTGCCACGGTTGTTAAGTGAATCATTGCATTTGTTCAGTTAGAAACGTGGAAAGCGAATCGGGACTCCCCATTGACTTTACTTGTCAGAAGGTCGTAAAAGCTGATCACATGACCCCAGGACACTGCAACCGTCATAAATGTGAAGCAGTTGCCAAGCATCTGAATTTCAATCAGGTGACCATGGGGATGTGGCAATAGTCATATATGTAAGTCATAAGCAATGATCATTAAAGCAATGATCATTAAGTCAAATATAGGTCCTAAGTCGCTTTTTTCAGCTCCACTGAAACTTCCAACTGCCACTAAATGTGCAGTTGTAAGTTGAAGACTACCTGTATTAATATCCCACCTCCCCAAATCCATCATTATCCATCGCGATTAGGGGACAGGCTTTCTCTCCAGCCCACCTGGTGATAGGTGGCCCCGGCCTGGAGCATCATCTGCTGGGTGGCGATGATCTTCTTGCGGCGCTTGCACTCCTCCTTGAGCAGCCGGATCTGCTGGGCCCCGCGGGCCACGTCCTTGGCCAGCAGATCGCGGTGAGCATCGGCGGCTCGGAGCAGCTCCTGGCCGGCGCGGAGCTGGGCGCTGAGGTAATCCTGGGAGTGGAGCAGGTACTCGAGGCAGAGCTGGGCCAGGCGCAGGAGCTTGAGCAGCAGCGGGTCGGCGGGGCCCTGGCAGTGAGGGCAGCGCTCGCGGCCGGCGTTGCAGAAGGTGACGTGCTCCAGGTGCTCCTGCAGCACCGCCACGTTCACTTCGGCCGCCACCCGGTCCACTTCCACGGCGCTCAGGCGACGCCAATCCGGACCTTCGTGTCGCGCACGGAATTGAAAAGGAGGTAGAGCCGCCCCGGGAGGCGGAGAGGCCGCCGCCGCCATCCCAGCCGGCGGGTCCGCCTGTTGGGACAGAAAGAAACGGGGGTCCCGCACCGCCACCTGCCGGGGGTGTCTTCGCCGGCCTCGCGGGCGCCGCATGTCTTCCCCGTTGCCGCGGCAACCGAGGCGGCGTGGCCGGAGTCTCACGCCAGGAGGGGGTCCCGGCTTAACCTCCCACGAACAGGCCACCCCGAGACCCTCGCGACGCGTGGATTTTTCCCGCCGTGGCATCTTTTCTTTCTTTCCTTTCCCCTTCCCGCTTTTGCCTCCCACCGTTTTTCCCCTTCTCAATCTCAGGGGCTTGAAGGCGTTTGTGAAGGCCACGCGCCTTCAAGCGGGTGAGAAACACGCTGCTTCAGAAAGCCAGCTTCACCTTCAGCCTCCTCGCTGCCAAGCCGGGCTGAGGAAATCTGGAGGGTCGTTGGATGGCAAGGGAACGAAGCAGGAAACTCCCTGCTGCCCTTTTATCCGGATTGTTAGGGATCCAGACCCTTAGGGGCTCCAGATAGGCTTTGGTTGGCCTACTTGACAGAGAACACCCCACACACACACAGAGAGAGAGATTTAATCGTTTTATCATCTCCCTCTCATAAAAATAAATTCTGTTGCATTAGAGCAGGGCAAAAGTTCATTCCCCTGGCCATCCAAAGTGTCCCAACTAGGAGGAATCACTGGTTTCTATTTAAAGGTTTTAATCATATGCAAGCAAAATTACCAGTTTCAGCTTTGGTTGCCCACTGAGATCAAGAAAAAGAAGATGCAGAGAAATTGCATTCAGGCCTCACAAACGCTTAATCTTAGTTTCAGGGAGATTATCACTGGATTTGACTGATTTAGGAAGCATCACTTTTACTGTAAGCACCCATTTTGCACTTGCAACACCATAAGCACTAATTCCTGGCATATTATAATAATATAGCATCTAACATATAATAATTTAATAATCTTTCAATACAATGGCACTCAACAATGTTTAAGATGCACTCATATATATTGTGACCTGGAACAAAACGTTATCATTGATGTAAAAACAAGCTTCCTATTACTCCCTACTTCCCTCCTTTGCTTTGCATTTCCAACACTTTTGTCCAAATTAACACAAGGAAAATAGCTGGTTACTTTGGATTTAACTTCTGGTTTGCTGATAAACCAGTTGCCTATTATTTGTAAGGATTTCTGTATTATAGATCTAAATTAAATCGTCTTTCAGCACCTCCCTCTGACTTCAATACGATTCTCTCTGATTACAGTTCTATACATACAAATATGTTACATACATACAGATATTCACACAATCTGACGACGTGAGTTGAAATCTCATAACAATAAGTGCATGGCCCTAAAATTGGGAGGGGGGAGAATCACAATACTATTTTTAACCAATAAAAGCTCACGTTAAAAAATGCCAAATGAATATTGACCTGCCCAGCCGCAGGGCGTATTGCCCCAATCGCGATGTAAAAAAAAAAAAAAAAGGCACCGCGATTCGAAGCACTCCTTTCCCACGAAGTTGGGAAAGCGAAGCAAGCCAGCGAGGATAAATCAAGCTTTCTTCCAAAAGCCAAGTCCCATTGCAAAAGAAGAGGGAGGCGAGCCCCGCAGGCTGTTAGAGAAGAAGCAAAACGGCTTTCCCGCCAGCACCGCTTCCCTCCTGGGCTCGCACTCCCAAAGCCGGGGCTGCAGAGCCAGAACAGGCTCCCTCTGCTGGGTGAGATGCGGGAAGATCCCGTCACGAAAAAAGGAGCTCTGCAAAGGGGGATCGGCCGGCGGCAGGAGCCGAGGTAAATCAACACCCCGCGCGATTTGGTCGCCCGCATTGAAGGGCTCTCCCTTCCCCCAAATGCGGCGATCCACCCGGTCGCTGCTCCCCTTTCTCTGGGATCTCGATTCGCTCGCCTCACCTGGATCAGCCGGCGTTCCAGCGAAGCGGCTTCCTCGGCTGCCCAACCCCGCCTCCTGCTCTTGCGCATCCCGCAAGCGATCGCACGACCCCCCTCCCCGCCTTAAGATGGTCGGGCGCTCCGCGGTTTTCCGCCCGTCTTCCCCCCTTCCTCCCGCTCCTCCAATCCGATTATCCCCCAGGCGGGGTGGAGCGAGCGGAGGCAAGAAGAGGCCTTGGTCTAGTGGCTGGGAGAAAGACAGGGATGCAGAAGAATAAAGCAGCCTCTTCTGTTCCTCCGGGAGTAAAATTCCAAAAATGCGGCTGGGATTAATTTGGGATCCGCCGTTCATTGCCGAGGGAGCCAAGCGCGGCCGGGTGCATGCTACGGATTTGCAGAGTTGGCTTTATGCAGAAGCCACTTCTGTGCAAAAGCGTGAATCGGTGGCTAAATGTGGCGTCGAGCCACGTTGTTCGTGAAGACTCGCCTTGCGGGGCAATCGTGGAGAAAGGGGCTCCCTTTTTTTACTTGATCGCTTGACGCACAGGCTGTAGGGGCCTGAGCCAAATATTGTCCAAGGCCAGACATTGCTCAGCTTCTGAGTTGGGGCAGGTTGCCCACGGGATGCATGAGCAGGCTCTTTTGGCATATCCGGTTGCTGGTTTTACCAAAAATGAAAAGAAAACCCGAAGCTGCAAGTTCAGTGGGAAGAAGGAACCTAGGAAGCATGAACATGGGAAAACTCAACAAGTGAATGTTGAATCTTGATTTCTTAGACATCAGTGAACTAGGATAGACCGGAAGTGGCTACTCTCCAAAAGAAGGACCTGGACACAAAACACAAAGCCAGAAAATGTATTCAAGTATTGTTGAGTACAGTGTAGCTGATGACTTGAAAACACATAATCAGAAAATTTGGCATAGTCTGAGGTGCTGAGCTAAAAGGTTATCTTTTAGCTCAGCTCCTCAGACTATGCCAAATTTTCTGATCTAGAGGAGGATAGTGATGGCTTCTCCCAGAGCATCCAATCACCATTCTCTTGGGTTGCCACATATTCCCCCTCCGGCACCTCTTTGCAAGCCTGTTGCCTGCATGTGCTGTCTTGCAGGATACTGACCCATTGGCCTTTATTAAAATAACTAGACAACCTATGTTGCATGGGGTCCTTGTTTCAGAAATATTTCCCTACCTAACACTTATAAATTCCTGTACAGTTTCCACAACACTTGCCACACTTCCCTGTACCGTTGTGCCCCTCTGCACAATCTCCCTAGCCCCATATGGCACCTCTTCAGCACACCTTAAAGAGCAATCCGACCTAGGCAAAATTACCTCACAGTGAGAACAGTTACTCTGTGGAACAGCTCGCCTTCAGAAGATGTGGGTGATCCATCACTGAAAGTTTTAAGAAAAGGTTGGACAGTCATTCATCTGAAATTGTATTGGATGTCCTGCTTGAGCAAGGGGTTAGACTAGACCTCCAAGGTCCCTTCCAACTCTTTTTATTATGTGACCTCAAGTGCAACCTCAATTTGTATTTAGTTGTTAAGGAAATCACCTATGACCATTAAGTGAGACTGCAACTTCAGATTTTCCTACTGTATTCTCCATTAACCCGTTTCCCGGGAAGCCAGTTGTGAAGCAGATAAATGATGATCACATAACTTGGAATGCTGCAGTGGTCATAAATGTGAGGATCGGTCACAAGCTGGTTTTATACCATTGTTAACATCAGTTACTAAATGGGATATTTGGTAAGCGAGGACTGTTTTTGTACCTTAGAGCAAATACTGCCTTAGTCTTGAGATACAGGTGAAACTCGAAAAAGTAGAATATCATGCAAAAGTTCATTTATTTCAGTAATGCAACTTAAAAGGTGAAACTAATATATGAGATAGACTTATTACATGCAAAGCAAGATAGTTCAAGCTGTGATTTGTCATAATTGAGATGATTATGAAAACCCCAAATCCACAATCTCAGAAAATTAGAATATTGTGAAAAGGTTCTGTATTCTTGGCTCAAAGTGTCCCACTCTAATCAGCTAATTAAGCCATAACACCTGCAAAGGGTATCTGAGTCTTTAAATGGTCTCTCAGTCTGGTTCAGTAGGAATCACAATCATGGGAAAGACTGCTGACCTGACAGTAGTGCAGAAAACCATCATTGACACTCTCCATAAGGAGGGAAAGCCTCGTAAGGTAGTTGCAAAAGAAGTTGGATGTTCCCAAAGTGCTGTATCAAAGCACATTAATAGAAAGTTATGTGGAAGGCAAAAGCGTGGAAGAAAAAGGTGCACAAGCAGCAAGAATGACCGCAACCTGGAGAGGATTGTCAGGAAAAGGCCATTCAAAAGTGTTGGGGACTTTCACAAAGAGTAGACGGAGGCTGGAGTCAGTGCATCAAGAGCCACCACACACAGATGGATCCTGGACATGGGCTTCAAATGTCGTATTCCTCTTGTCAAGCCGCTCCTGAACAACAAACGTCAGAAGCGTCTTACCTGGGCTAAAGAAAAACAGAACTGGTCTGTTGCTGAGTGGTCCAAAGTCCTCTTTTCTGATGAGAGCAACTTTTGCATCTCATTTGGAAACCAAGGACCCAGAGTCTGGAGGAAGAATGGAGAGGCACATACTACAAGATGCTTGAAGTCCAGTGTGAAATTTCCACAGTCTGTTGATTTGGGGAGCCATGTCATCTGCTGGTGTTGGTCCACTGTGCTTCATTAAGTCCAGGGTCAATGCAGCCGTCTACCAGGAGATTTTGGAGCCCTTCATGCTTCCTTTCGCAGACGAGCTTTATGGGGATGCTGACTTCATTTTCCAGCAGGACTTGACACCTGCCCACATTGCCAAAAGCACCAAAACCTGGTTCAATGACTGTGGGATTACTGTGCTTGATTGGCCAGCAAACTTGCCTGACTTGAACCTCATAGAGAATCTATGGAGCATTGCCAAGAGAAAGATGAGAGACATGAGACCGAACAATGCAGAAGAGCTGAAGGCCACTATTGAAGCATCCTGGTCTTCCATAATACCTCAGCAGTGCCACAAGCTGATACTTCCATGCCACGCCGTATTGAGGCAGTAATTGCTGCAAAAGGGGCCCAAACCAAGTACTGAGTACATATGCATGCTTATACTTTTCAGAGGTCTGATATTGTTCTATGTACAATCCTTGTTTTATTGATTACATGTAATATTCTAATTTTCTGAGATTGTGGATTTGGGGTTTTCATGAGCTGTAAGCCATCTTTATGACAAATCACGGGCTTGAATTATCTTGCTTTGCATGTAATGAGTCTATCTCATATATTAGTCTCACCTTTTAAGTTGCATTACTGAAATAAATGAACTTTTGCACAATATTTTAATTTTTCAAGTTTCACCTGTAGCAACTACTGGGTTGTAGACTGGGAAGTTGTAAAATGTGTGAGAAACCAGCAGCAAATGGCTGTAATATTTTATTATTGTCCGCATCATCATTAGGATTTGAATTCGACTTGAAAGTTCTTTAGCCTTTCTTTTATGAAAATAACTCATTTGCATTAATTTCCCAAACTTAAAAGAGGATGAAGATATGTACCGAATCAGAGAAATAATTGATTTCTCACATTTTATAAAATACTAACATGGGGTCAGATATATAAGAGACATGATGGAAACTATGCCTTCATTCAGGCAAATATTATAATCGTCTAATCATCTTTGTTGCTCTTCTCTATTGTTCTTTGTTGCTGTTCTCTACACCAGTGGCCCCCAACCTTTTTTGTGCCATGGCCCGGTACCGGCATCACAAAATGATCCGCGGCCCGGTACCGGCATCAGCATGCATGACAAGGCAAGGCGAGCCAAGCGACCAGCCAGCCAGCCGTCCCCCACTTCTTCCCGCCACCTTCAACTCCTCCTTTGTACCTTTGTCGATGGGCTTCGCTTAGGGACGGCTTCGGGACAGTCGCTCGGCTCGCCTTGCCTTGGGTGCTGAAAGAATCCTCGCGCCTTAGTTTCGTTCGAAGCCCCCCCCCTTCGATGAAACTAAGGCACGAGGAGTCCTTCAGGACCCAAACGCTGCTTTCCAACCGGAAAAGCTCACCTGGAAGCACTTTCTCATCAAACAAGATGGCGGCGCCCAGCAAACCGGCGGCCCGGTAGGAAATGTTCCACGGACTGGTACTGGTCCATGGCCCAGTGGTTGGGGACCCCTGCTCTACACTCTTCCTAGAATCTCAACATCTTTTTTATATCATGGGGATCAGAACTGGAATCTTTATTTATTTATTAAATTTGTTTGCCATCCATCTTACCTCGAGATGACAGAATAGAATAGAATAGAATTCTTTATTGGCCAAGTGTGATTGGACACAAGGAATTTGTCTTGGTGCATATGTACATTAAAAGAAAAGATACATTCGTCAAGAATCATAACACTTAATAATAGTCAAAGGGTACAATAAGCAATCAAATCATACAGAATTGAATTGAATTGAATTGCTCAAGCAGGAGAATGTACACCATTTCAAATAATTCTAACCTCTTTATTCTAAGTATGGTCTTTCCAAGGCATGGTATATATTTAACATGATCCCAATACTAATATTTAACAAGATCCCTGTTGATACAGTAGAGGACTGCGACTGAAATGTGACTAACTTGATACTTTATCCTATACTTCCCATCTGATTTGAGTAATTAACAGTTATTTTCTTAGGATAACAACCTGCTGTGGGGCTTTAATATAGTTTTCAGCGTTTTCCTTGCGTGCGGTCACAAGAAAAATCCCGTGAAATTCAAAGATTATCTCTTTTGGGGAAAACTTTTGAAGAAATAATCATCATCATCATCATCCCGCGAAGGTTTTCTCAATCGGAAACGTCGTCCCACCCTCGCCTTTTACAGAGCCGCAAACGGGCAGGCATCAAGCTCGGGACGAAGTGAGGGCGCTGTTTCGTCATCTCGGCTTCATTCGCCCTTAATGCGCGTTCTCGGGCCAAAGAGGGCGGAGACTGTTGACAGTCGCCTCTCCTGCTTTCCACGTTCCCCGAGCGAGAGGCGGGACGGCGTGCCTACCGGCCAATCACAGGCTCCCACGACCCACCCAGGGGGATCCTGGTTTAGAACGTTAAAAGAGTTTCCAGAGTTCTCCGAGGTAAACTTTCCAAGCGGGTTCGGTGGTTACGCGCGCGGGAGAGTCTGCGGGCCGTCATGGTTTCTCCCCGGAGTTGTCTTCACAAGCTCGGCTCGACGCTTCCGTTGCTGTTGGTGCTCTGGGATCTCCACTATGAAGGTGAGAGGAAGTTTTGCTGCTGGTTGGCAATTTGTTACCTGGGAAGTTCAGTTTACTTGGGCGAGAGAAGGGACTTGGGGCGGGGGCAGGAAGGCTGTACGTTGGGGTGGAGGGAGTTGATGGACATGGGTCGAAGTGCACGCAGTATAAATCTTCCTCTAGAGCGGAGGTCCCCCCCCCCCAAACTTGGCAACTGGGAAGACTTGTGGACTTCAACTCCCAGAATTCCTGGAGAATTCTGGGAGTTGAAGTCCACAAGTCTTCCCAGTTGAGATCCTCTGCTAATAGAACTAAAAACATGGTTTCACTTGGGATCCTTGCAAAGGTGGAAGAGGAAGTTACAGCCTTCCTTGCAGAGGGGGCTACAGTGCAAAGAAAGGGAGAACTCACGAGTGTTTCTCAACCTTGAAGGTATGCGCACTTCATTCCCCAGCCAGATATTACTAGGTAAATATCTAAATGAGAGATTAAATGTTTCATTTAAAAAATAAGATTTAAGTATTAAAATTAAATGCTAGATATTTGCTGGCTGGGAAATTCTAGGAGTTGAAGCCCACACATTCCCAAGCTGTGAAAAAAAACATTGGTATAATTATATATTAAACAGTTCTGCTTTTGACGGGCGGGATCAAATTAATGATGCTGAAAAGGTTCATGAAAAGGGGAGGAATATCTATCCCCAAGGGGAGGTGCTGTCCCTACAGGAAAAGCTCAACATATTCTAATGATAGTCTCTGTTCTCATGGAACTGTAGGTGGTTCTTAGAAAGTTGACATTAGCAGGCATAGTCCTGGGACCATGATTATAAAATTAAAATGCTGTAGCTTATATGCAAGCTGTGCTCATTTAATCAATGGCTTTTGCTTCATATGAATTGTGTTTAGGAATTTAGCCCATGAACTGGTAAAATGCCCATTGTCTGTTTTGCTGACATCTGCCCAAGTTTCCGAAATTATTAAATCAACCATTTAATGGGCCAGCAAAAAAACGCTGTGGATGCAGTACACATAAGGCATTTGACACAGTAGATCACAACTTGTTTCTTGGTAAACTAGAAAATTGTGGGATAGACAGCATCCCTGCCGGATAGAGTCATTTATTTATTTGTAAAATTTATTAGCGACCCATTTTATCGCACACTAACTCTGAGCATCTTACAATATTAAAAGATAAAACTATAAAGTATAATAATTCAAATACAATACTATAAAAAAAATCAACCTAGCTAAAAAGATGAGGAGGGAGGAGTATGATGAAAGAAAGGGGGGGGTTAATATCTGTTATTAATCTATGAACTACCGCCAATGTGAAACCCTTCCATTGGAGCCTTAACTCAACTGGCAGAGCCAGTCTTTTGTCCTTATAGAAGGTAAGGGGGACAGAAGCTGACCTTACTCTGGAGGGAGGGTAAAATGTTCCAAAGGCCAGGCACAATGACAGAGAATCTCTTCTGGACCCCACCAGCCAAAATACCCTGATTGATGGGCCTGCAAACATACTGGCACAGGTGGGATGGGCCAATCCCAATGGGTTGAGACGGTCCCTCAAGTAGCCTGGACCTACGTCATAGCTGGAATTGCACCAGGAAGCAAACCAGCAGCCAGTGCAGCTCACAGATTAGTGAATGACAGAGCACAGGGACTCCTGATCCAGAACAGGCTGCAACTGGTGCACAACTCGTAGTTGTGCAGAAGCTCTCCTAGTTGTAACTTCCACCTGCTCTTTGAGAAGCGGTCATGAGTCCAGGAGAACCCAAGTTGCAGACCTGATCCATCTGGACCAGTCCCACCCCATCCAGAATTAGATATGTCAAATTTCCAGATCTTGGGGCTCCATGTACCCAAAGCCATTTGGCCTCACCTAGGTTCAATCAAAGCCCCACCACCTCCAGGCACCATGGAAAGGCATCACTTGGATCACTGGAGGTGGAAATATAGAGTTGGGTATCATTGGCATACTACAAATACCTCAGCCGAGGATGATCTCACTCAAGGTGACGGATGATCTCAAGTACAACCAATGCACATAACCAGGGCTGAATCCTGACTGAAAGGAGTCCAGATAATAAGTTTCATCTAAGACCCTCTGAAGTTGCCAGGCCACCACCTGTTCCACAACCTTCCCCAAAATTGGAAGATTGGAAACCAGACAAAAATTATCCAAGCAGGTGGGATCAAGTGATGGTTTTTAAGGAGGGGGTGAACCAGGGCCTTCTTAAAAGGCTGGAACTATCTCATCTGTAGTGATTAATCATTTGAATTAATCATCTGAACCCAATCATCTGTTTGAACCCACTTGCTAGTCACTATCCTAGAGAAAAAGGAAAGCTTTCGAAAAATGTGTAGCGCCTTTAAAATGACTTGCAGTTGAACCTAAGAAATTATATTGTTAAACTTTATGTAGAGACTAAAGTTGAAACATTGATTGTGGTGTTTTATGAAGAATAATTCACTTATGTCATTGACAAGTGTGTGATGCCCATATATGGAATCCAGAGGGGTTGTGTGCATGCATATTGGAGTCCAGGCACATGCAGTATATGTTGAAGCGTAAATTGATTTATTGACCAACGTAGTAGTCCCAATGGGTATTGCTATACTAAAGAGGAGTAAAAATCACAGGCCTTCTTTATTGATATATGCAAATCATCCCTTCCATTTGATTGATTGATTATAATTAATTTAAGCAGCAACAATATAAGAGATCATTATTGTTACAGTAATGCAACCTTTATTGATGGGCTTTATTTTTTATGTATATTGAAATATTAATTAATGAAGTGGTTGGAGAGGCTGGTATTCATCAGCCCCCCTGGAAGTACTGGAGATGCTTAGGAACCCTATGTGTGAACCTGAACACCACATAGGCAACAAGGAGGCTGCTGGCTCCGCAGGCACATGTAAATGTGATGGAGGTTACTTGGCAATATATTGGAAATGCTGGGGATGTGGTGGCAGGTGGAGATGCTGTTGAGGACATTGGACCTGCCACCTTTTCTAGCTATGCAGGCTTGATTTCATCTATTGGTGGTATCAGAGAAATTGGTTATTTTTGATTTCCATTTTTTGAGAAATGCAGAAAAGAGAAAAACTGGATCCTTAATTTTACTTTCTCTTCCTTCAGGAGTACAATGTGGCATAAATGCAGAAGTGGAAAAGCAGCTTGAATTGGGGAAAAAGCTGCTGGCAGCTGGGCAGCTGGCAGATGCTTTGTCCCATTTCCACGCTGCCATAGGTATGTATCTGAAGACCTGTTGAGCTTCCCTTCTAAATATATGGTTTTTTTCTCCCTCTGGCCTAGATAATATGTATGAGATTAAAAGTAAGAGATTGAGAAACTTATTCTTGGTGAGAATTCTAATTGCTGAATGAATGTTTTTATACTTGGTTCATAGGTCCAAAATATTCTAACTTCTCAGACAGGAATTAAGTGAAAAAGCCGGTATGTTTCTGCCAGGTACATGTTGAAGTCTTATTAGCAGGGATGCGAAAAGGACATTCCATTACTGATCAATTACAGTATTTGGTCTTCCACAAGAGAAAGATGTAGAATCTAAAAACCGAATTGTAAAATAATTTTCCACCACATGTGAGTCTGTAGTTAGAGATTAGAAGCTGTAGCACGTTGGGGCTCAACTTCCTTAAATACCCACTTCTGTAAAGCCTTTAAAAGCAGACTGGGATTCGATAGATGTTCTATGCATACTGCTGTTAAAATTTCATTACAGTGCCTACGTTGCTGGAAATATTCCTTCCTTGAGTTATACGCAATGTCTCTCACACACACACATTAATTGTATTCCTCCTTGTTGCTTGCTCCGTTCTCTCCAAAGCTTTGGCTGACTTAAGGCTATGTTCTGATTGCTACTTTTTTTTTTTTCTTGCAGAAGGAGATGCCGATAACTACCTTGCTTATTACAGAAGAGCCACAGTATATCTAGCCATGGGCAAATCAAAAGCTGCCATTCATGATTTAAGCAGGGTAGTTGAATTAAAGCAGGATTTCACATCGGTAAGCAGTACTTTCTAAAGATTCCTTGGGGTGGATGGTAATGGCTTTTTGGTCTTCATTTTTCTGTTGCCTTTTAAAGGGGAGCCTGCCTTTTTTCTTTTTTAGCAAATGGTGTAATCTAGCAGGAAACCTCAATTATCATTCAACTTGGGGAGATTAAATATAGGCTGAAATTCTAGCTAGGGAGACAGGATTTTCATAGTACTAATTCAGCATGTGAATTTGCTCTGATTACTTTGAGGAGTATTAATACCCTTGAAGACTGCGGGATGAAGTTTTTGGCATAGCTACAAATTGCTGAAAGTATGTGCAGAGGGATTCTTAAATCTTTTTTAGATTCTTAAGTAGCCTTTCCTCATTATAATGTGATATACAGCACTACATATCCTGCCATATTACCTTTCTTTTTTTTTAGGCACGACTACAAAGAGGCCATTTGCTGCTTAAGCAGGGAAAGTTGGATGAAGCTGTAGAAGATTTTGAAGGCGTGGTAAGTGAAGTGATTTCTCAAGGCATATTGAAGTAGCAGCTGTGATAAAACAACATTGAGCATTGTATGTCCCTGTATGTATACTCTAGGGCAGGGGTGTCAAACTAGCGGCTCGCGGGCCGGAAGCGTCACATGTAGGCCACTCCCACGAATGGGAAAAGAATTGCGAAACATCACGTTACAGCCACGTGACGCCACAAGTTTGACATCTGTGCTCTAGGGTGATGGTTTGGTTTTGAATTTGAGTAGTGGTAGAGTCAGCGAGAAATTAGGACCGTGTAAACAGTGCTACTGTCCTACATCTTTAATTTCCTTTTGAAATGGCTTAAATCTGAGTCCTTTTCTGAACCAGAATATACTTAGGAAGCATGAAGCCAGTGATGGCCAGTGGGTGTGTCATTGGGACATTTCATATCTGACTGGAAGCAGGAAAAGCTAAAAAAAAAAACACACACACTTATATCCCCACGACCCACCTCCACCCCAGCAAAATTAGAAGTGGAAGGGGAGTGACTTTTTGGAGTTCCAAATACAACAATTGTTTTCACAAAAGGTAAACTAATGTCAGAGACAAAATGGATTCAAATAACAGAATAATAAAGTTGGAATGGATTTTGTAACTCTTATACCGTAGTCCAACCCATTGCTAGAGCAGCAAACCCTTATACAATTTCCGACAAATGGCTGTTCAGTCGCTTCTTAAAATCCACCAGTGATGTAACACCCACAATTCCTGAGGGCAAGTCATTCCACTGATTAATTGTCCCTACCATTAAAAAAATTCTCCTTAGTTCTAGGTTGCTTCTCTTCTACCTTAGTTTCTTGCCTTGGTTTTTAGTTCTTTGGAAAATAGATTGACCCTCTCTTCCTTGTGGCTGCTCCTCAAATATTGGAACAATGTTATCATGTCACCCCCTAGTCCTTCTTTTCTCTAGACTAGACATACCCAATTCCTGCAACTGTTTTTCATATGTTTTAACCTCCAGTCCCCTAATCATCTTTGTTGCTCTTCTATTCACTCTTTCCAGAGTCGCAACATGTTTTTTATATTGTGGTGTCCAAAATTGAATACAGTATTCCAAGTGTGGCCTTACCAAGGTCTTATAAAGCGGTACTATCACTTCATGGGATCTTGATTCTATCCCTCTATTAAAGCAGCCTAGACTGTGTTATTTCCATACAGCACATCTTTATAGTATTGCATTTAGAAAAGAAGTATTTATTATCCATGCAGTTGACAAAGAGATGTTTACTTTGCCGTGAATCTTCTTCAGATCAGGATTTTTTGTTTGTTTTTACTTCTCCTTTATATCTTTTGCATTCCCAATATTTTCACGCATAATTTTGATAATGATTATTTTGCATGTACTCAACATTCCTCAATATGAAACAGTCAAACTGGTTTTTATTCTCCTGACCCTGTACTTACTGGAGCTCAGAATTCAAATTAAATATTAGGAAGTGAAAAATTGCTCATTCTGCCTTGAAATAAAAAAGAACAGATTATTTTGATTGCCTATTTAATATTGGTTCAATATTATGAAACTGATTTGGTTTTTGTTAGTATAGTGAGAAGATATGTAAAACTAGAATAACTTACTAAATTGCAGCCCAGTATATTTCAGGTACAATCAGACTATGTAGAAAAATAAAATTACCCTCCAGAAGTAAGAAACAACGGGATTTGAAAATGGGCACCCAGCCGTTTATTTAAGCTTCCCAGGTGGCAATATTTTAAAAAAATAAATAATTAGTAGAGAATTATTTTGAATATATTTCTGAGGGAATTTTTCTATTTGTTTTCTGGGTTGTTTTCTGCATTGTGGTATTAGTACATTGAAGTCATAATTGAAATGGATGTGGCCATTGCCAATTGATCTGCTATGGACTAGGCAGGAAAACAATGCAGAGTCAGTTTTTAAAAAGGTGGGGATGGGAGACTCAGCTTCAAAGTAATAGCTGACTAATAGAAGAGTCTCTAGTTGCTTTTTCCCATTGTATCTCATCACCCGGAGAACAGGTGCTCCCATTGAGAATTATTCCTACAGCTACAGTTGGAAGACAACTTCAATCTCTTTTGCGTTCTTCCACTAGAGGCCAGCACAGTCTGTCCTTGAGGGCTATCTTTATTAAAACTGCATCTTCCCTAGTGTAAAAATGTACCATAATTACTTTTTATATTTTATCACTTAAACACTTATTACATAAAATCTTATATAATTTATATCATACATAAAATAATCATAATTGAAAAAATTACCGCTTGAACACTATCAGTGCTGACGAAAACATCAGTCAATTGCAAAAGGCAGCTTTACTTTGGGCAGCTTACAACTTGTGGTGACGCCTCTAACACCATCAAATGTCAACATCTGCTTATGTGAGATGCTTGGTAGGTGGGCACTTCAATCGCTTGCCCCCTTGTCTCAAGGCAGTGGGCTTAGTTGAATGGCATGGTTTATTCTTTCTTTGCCGTCCTGAATGTTTTAAGTGACCAGTGTTAGCACAAACCACTTAGTTAAAATAATGTTCTCGGTCTGAAAATGTTTAGGGTTTTCTGCTTATGGAGCACTTGATGTGACAACTTGCTCTTGTGTTTTGTTAACTTCAAAGGTATTAATAAAATGTTCTCTTTTCCTCCGCCAGTAAGATTTTTTGCTTTTTCATTTATTTCCACTGTTCTGGAAAAAGATTCAATCTACTTCTAGCAATCTTACAGTGTTTTCCATTGTCAGGAAATGGCCAGCAGTGGAAGGGTCTATGACAATTTGCCACAGTCAACTCACCACAGCCAATTTACTGTGGGACAAAACACCAGCCAACGTGCTGCAGGACAACTCGACAAGAGTTACACTAATATCAAAGAAATAGTGGAATAGAATCATTAAAGGAAGGATGGAAAAGGAGGGACAGAATGAAATGTGAATTGCAAAAGTTGAAATATTTTTTTTTTATTTATTTTAAATAAATAATGAAATGGAATTGTTAAATTGTCCTGCAGCAAGTTGTCCCATGGTGAGTTGTCCTACAGTGAGTTGGCCGTGGCAAGTTGGCTGTCAGCTGTGTCCACAGTGGAATACTTTCCATCACCCAGATTGCTAAAGCCAGGCCTGAGTGATGAAGAAATTGGAGTCACACATGTCTTGCTACAGATATTATGGGCATTGTTGAGGGCCTTGGCAAAGAACTAAAAGGAAATTTTAACTTATTCTTAATTAAACTCACTTCAGTTCATGAAATAGAATTTATACTTAATGGGTAATATACAGTTATTTAGCCTTTTCCACCTTTATTGGAAAAAAATAAAATGGTTTTGTTTGTTTTTTGCTTTTGGTGGGCTTGAGAGGCTGCCTCTGACACCTCAAAGGGAGGTCCCCCTGCACCTCTCTGCTTTAGAATCCAGCCCTTTGGTCCTTCTGCAACCCTGTAATGGAAGTTTCACCCTCTAACGCAGAGGTCTCCAAACTTGGCACTTTTAAGACTTGTAGACTTCCACCGGAGAATTCTGGGAGTTGAAGTCCACAAGTCTTAAAAGTTTCCAAGTTTGGGGACTCCTGCTTTAATGCTTATCTTATCTTCCCCTTTCCCCACCCGCTCCGTTGGCAGCCAACTCAGTCCAGCGTCCTTGCCTTAGGTGAGAATGGGTGGAGTGTGGGGCATATGTTGGTCAGAAAGAACTTGGAAAAGAGGGGAGCCAGGGGGAAGGTCCCCAGGTTGCAGTTTTCAGTAGACTCATTTTGAAGAGTACGCCTGTTTCACTGAAATTACTTGTTGTTATTTGTCTCAGGAAGAAAATGTACAATATAGATCCGTTGTGAATTGTCTGAAGTTTGGGGAAGAAGGAACTGAAAGGAACAGTCTGGCAATAACAAGATGCAACATTTTCAGAGGGAGAACTCAGTTTAGAGCCACAGGCTCTCTCTTCTGTTCTGTTTAGACACAAGTAGCCATTTTCTTTTGAAGTGACTGGAGAACTGCCTGCATTTCTGTTCTGGATTTCTAAGTCAATCTAAAATTATTTTCTAAGCTATGATTTTTCTGTGCTAAAGAATTCAAAAGCCTGGGTTCTGTTTTGTTGTTGTGGGTTTGTCGATGGGTGTCAAACACAGGGTGTTTGAATTTGAATTTGAATTTCAACTTGTAATTGGGGCTGTGCGTGTGTGCTTACTACTTGCAGCTCCTGTCTAAACCCAGTGATAAAGAAGAAGGAGAAGCCCGGGCTCAGTTGTTGAAGTCAGATGAAGCTCGGCAGCTGCGTTCCCAAGCACAGTCTGCCTTTCTCAGAAAAGATTACTACACTGCTATCACACTCTTGGATAAAATTCTAGAAGTAAGTCCCAAACTGGAAAGTGGTGCCAAGGTGTAAGCATGCTTACTACTTTTGAATTTTAAATTTTGAATCAAAAGTTACTTTGGAATCACAGCAACATTCAGGTAGGTAATTTTTTTTTCACCAGATGCTTGTAAATTGGAAGATATTTTTCCCCCGTTGGGCAATGTTTCAGCGGAGTGGTAGCACATAGCTCACCTTGCCTGATTTTCAGTGCTAAGTGCTGTACAGTTGGAGTTGATGTGTGTCTGATTAGATGAGAGAAATCTTAGGGTATCTTGGAGCTGTAGCCTGGACTGGAAAGTTGAAAAACCATCCTGGAAGAGGGCAGTGGCAAACAATTTATTTACTGTTAACCACAACAATTTACAAATTCATTCATGAAATCCAGAGTAATCTCCTTTTGACAGAGATGTTATCTTATCAGATTAATTTAACCACACAATTTCCAAAAACTGTGTTGGTTAGATTAACCTGATAACATCAAATTTTGGTTAAAAGGAGATTCGCTCCAGAGGAATACAAAAATGGGGGTGAATGTTTTGCTCCAATTGTGTAGTGATGGTCATCCAATTCTTAAAGCGTTTATGGCATGGTGTGGCTGATTGCTTCATTTTAGGTCAGAGGGTCCTTTTGAACCAGTGCAGATAGGATTAAAATCTCCTTTTGTTTCTGGTTTTTCTCAAGGTTTGTGTTTGGGATGCGGATATGCGGGAACTTCGAGCTGAAAGCTACATTAATGAAGGGGAGCCCGGGAAGGCGATCAGTGACTTGAAGGCTGCTGCCAAATTGAAGAGCGATAACACTGAAGCTTTCTATAAAATCAGCACAATATACTATGAATTAGGGGATCACGAGATGTCCCTAAGGTAAATGCTCTGGGTTCGGGAAGCAAAATACTTCTAGAATTTTAGAAAACCTGCGCTGAATGGAAAGATGCCTTGCCAAGATGAAAGAGAGGTTATTTGAAGGAGGGAGAAACATGGATGTGGAGTTTCCCAGGCCTCCAAATCCCTCTCTTTTTCCCCATGGGAGGGAAAAGTTCCACAGTGACCTGGAAGAGAAAGGATTGCATTCAGGGTACCTCCATACCACTACCTTATGCCAGGTTTTAAGAGGGACTATACCAGTGGTGACTAACCTTTTGGGGCTGCCATGCCGATCATTGCACGCACCCTTACCTGCTCATACTCGCGTGCCATCACCTAGAAGGCAATGCGCACGGGGGGAGGACATATCTCCTGCGCATGCACACACGACTCTTGCGGCCTGCACTTCTGCGCATGAGTGTGAGACCTGCACAACCCACGCTGAGAGCTGTGCATGCGTGTGTGACCCCCCCATATGCCGCATGCTGTGCATGCGCGAGTGTTCTCTGCGCCCCCGTAAATGCACCCCAGATACCCAACAATCAGCTGTCAGGTGAACAGTGTGTGCGCATGCCCAATACACCTTTTCTGGGTGAGAGCTCGCATGCTGGCAGTAATGGCTCTTTGTGCCACTTCTGGCACGCATGCCATAGGTTCGCCACCACAGGACTATACTATATTACAGTAGTATAGCTAAGATGCACTATTAAAAAAAGTTGGTGTGTTTGATCAGAATCTGCTTCCACCCCCACCCACCCCTGCATTTCAGAGGATTCCTTTCTCAGGGAAACTTATATTCTTTTCCCTTTTTACTAAACAGTTTTCAAGAGGGGAAAAAGAACTAAGCAAAGACCACACAACGTTATGAATTAATCAATAAATAAATTCATTGCTACTAATATAATGAATGTCATCTGCCCAAAGTGATAACTCTCTGATTCTTCACCCAAGGGAAGCTAGATACAAACAAAGCATGTTCTATTTTTTTCCAATAGCCCACCCACAAAGTTTAATGACTGTGCTTCAAATAATAATGAATCATAAAGTCCTATATACTTAGATATAAAATTATAAATGCCATTAAATTCTATTGTTTTGATTGCTGCAAGTAATAAGTCTCCGAACGGTTGAATAATTTGAGATTATTGCTAACTTTTTAATAATATCAGTTGATTTTTTGTTTCTTTTCTGCTAATACTAAAGGAAAATTCTCTCCCTTCCTCCCTCTCTCTCTAATCTGCGTGCAGGAGGTGACAGCAGTAATATTGGACATGTAACAATTAAGCTGTATGAAAAGGGCCCATAATTTTAGATCTGTGATTGATTCCAGGCAATGTACTATATAAACAAATGGCATTTTCTTATTTATATTAAACAATGGAGAACATTACTAATTCTTCTGTATAAATGCCCTCACTTTGCAGCTTCTCCGTGCTGTATATTCTGAAATTCCTTTAATAAACATTCTAGAGTGGATGAACATATTTCTTGAGTGGGTGAACTTTTTCTCAGATGTCTTCAAGCAGAGGAATGCAACTCCCAGTCCCCATGACTAATAATTTAATATAAAAAAATGTAATCAGCCACAGCATCCGAAGGGCTTTACATTTTGTTGCATTTCTCCATGCCTCTGATGGAGGGGCAATTAATATACCTATTTCTCAGCAGAGAAAGTAAACCGAGGGGAATGACTCTTTTGCAAATGGACTAGGAGCAGGGACTGAACTCTGGTGGTTTTATCCCGAGCATTTTGATTCCACAATGAGCGGTGCAGTAGCCTAGAAGTGGAGCTCTCGCCTCACAATCAAGAGGCTGTGAGTTTAGGTATATTTCTCTCTCTGGGTACATTGAGAAAATATCTGCTGCAAACTCTGCACTGGCGACAGGAAAGTCATCCGGGCAGTAAACACTCCATTCAGTTGCCCCGACTCCACCCCAATGCAGGTGTTACACAGGGTCATTAAAAAAAGACAACAAAAAATCTTGTTTCCATAACCTAATTCTCTCTCTCTCTCTCTCTCTCTCTCTCCCTTATTGTTTCCTGTGTGCAAAGTGAAGTGCGGGAATGTCTGAAACTGGACCAAGATCACAAGGAGTGTTTTTCTCACTACAAGCGAGTAAAGAAGCTCAACAAGCAGATTGTTTCAGCAGAAGAGCTCATCCAGGAAAGAAGGCAAGTCCTCCGTTTTGTGATTTTGTTTTCTTGGTTGAGTTTCCTCTCCATGGCTTCTTACACAGATCAGCAGTTCAAGAGTGGTCTGCATTGCATTACCATATCTTCAAGAGATGGCCTTCCAGCCTTTGGTTAAAAAGCCTCGGATGAAGGAGAAGCCATCACTGTCCAAGGCATTTGGTGTCCCTGTTAAATAGTTCTTGCTGTTAAGACCTTTTTCTGTTGCCTAGTCATAATTTCTTGTTGTTGTTGTTGTTGTACTTCTTCTTCTTCTTTTTCTTCTTCTCCTTCTCCTCCTCCTCCTCCTTTGTCTCCTCCGTCTCCTTCTCTTTCTCCTTCTTCATTTTAGCCATTGTCTCTCCACTACAGAATGAAGGTCCCTTCCATATATTTCCAACCAATAGGGTCCTGAGTTTTATTTTGCCTGTTGGGCCCACAATACTTTCTGATATTGTCGATCCATCTTGGTCTCTTCATCCTCTTCATCTTTCATGGGCACTTTTTATCAAGTGGGATCCATTCTATGACTTCCTGTAAAGCACCATAAAGTGGTTTATAAGTCTAAGTGCTATTGCTATTCACAGTTGTTGATTTTTTCAGTAAGCCACCGGAATATACAGCATAATCAATATTTAAAAGTCTATACTGGCTGTGAGACCATTATAAACCTGACTCACTGAAGTGTGACCATTTCAGTTACCTCTAACAGGACTGCCAATAGGTAGGGATTTTGTGAATGTTAACAAGCTAGCAACGACTGAGGACCATGGATTAAATCCAGTGGGATCTTTTCTGCTGACAGAAGTGCTTTTTCCTCAAAATTCATGCATACTCAATACTTAGAATAGAATAAGCTGGTAGTGACTTTGGAGATCTTCTAATCCAGTCCCCTATTCAAGCAGGATTACCTATACCAATTTAGACAAGTGATTGTCTAGGCTCTCTTAAAAACATCCAGTGATGGAGCACCCGTGATTTCTTGAGGCAAGCTGGTTCCACTGGTTAAGTGTCCTCACTTTTATGAAGTTTCTCCTTAATTCCAAGTTTGCTCCTGAGCATCTCCTTAAACGTTTGGAGCATTTTTTGTTTACAGTGTTCATTGAAGATCTAATTACAAGAGTAAAAGCAAATGCAAAGTATAAAGTGCTAAGAAAGAAAGATTGAGATAGATAGATAGATAGATAGATAGATAGATAGATAGATAGATAGATAGATAGATAGAT